TATTTCAACCAACCCTATGAGTAAATACCATTATTATCCTCATTTTACAAATAACAAAACAGACAGTTAAGAAACTGTCCCAAGGCCAGCATGTAGTTTGGACAGTCTGGTAGCAAAGCTTCTGTTCTTAATCACTATCTCATCTGTTTAATTTTAGTCTCTGCCACTGGAATGAAAGCTCTGTGCAGACAGGGAGGACCGTTGTATATTCTCTGCCGTGCCTAAACAATAGGTACACAGTAACTATTTTTTTTTTAACTATTTTTTTATTTGAGAGAGAGACAGTGAGAGAGAGTATGAGCGAGGAGAAGGTCAGAGAGAGAAGCAGACTCCCCGTAGAGCTGAGAGCCCGATGCAGGACTCCATCCTGGGACTCCAGGATCATGACCTGAGCTGAAAGCAGTCGCTTAACCAACTGAGCCACCCAGGCGCCTCACAGTAACTATTTCTTGATTAAACTCCATGACTCACCTAAGTGAAAGAATTAGTGGACTCTATCATATATAGATTCAAGAAATATTTTAGATGCAATTTTGGCAAATTTTTGGCAGACTTTGGTGATTGTTATGGACTGAATGTCTCTCTCCCCACCGTCCCAAATTCATATGTTGAAGCACTAACCCCCCTCCCCAGTGGGGTGTCTAAGGAAGTAATTTAAGTTAGATAAGATCATAAGGGTGGGGCCCTAAACCAACAGGATTGCTGTCTTTGTAAGAGGAAGAGAGACCAGAACTTGTACTCTCTATAGACATGTACTGAGGGAAACGCCATATGAAGATGTAGTGAGAAGACAGGAAGAGAGCTCTCACGGAAAGCGAATCAGGTGCAACCTTGACCTTGGACTTCTGGCCTCCAGAATTGTGAGAAAATAAATGTCTATTTACGCTGGCTAGTCCATGATATTTTGTTATGTCAGCCCAAGCAGACTAAGACAGTGATTAGTAGGATGAGGGTGAGGGGTGAAGGGGGCCTTTCTCACTTGGGAGACTGGAGGGGCAGTGGTGCCACTGACTGGGGTAGAGAATCTGGGAAAAGGAGAGGTTGGTTATGGTCGATGGAACAACACTAATTATCCTATACTTTGGGTTCACCGTACTCAAACAAAAAATACAGTAGAAATTAGCTACTTAAAACCATTCATTCAATAAATATTCTATTCATCCTCCTTGCATTGATGGCCACTGTGCTTGTCCTGAGAATACAAAATAAATAAGATTCATTGTCTGCCTTTTAGGAGCTCACAGTCCAGTGGGGATAAATACTGTTCCTTTTAGTAAAGCTAGCATGCTAGCTAGAAAGACCTTTTTCCTTTTCCCCATTTCTAAAGACCTGGAGCTCATAAGAAGTATAGTGGTAAAAATCCCATATGGATAAGACCTTTGGAGTCACATGACCTGGATTTGAATCTGGGCCTTGGAATACTAGCTAGGTGATGGTCTTAGATAGGCCAAGCAACCTTTCTGGGTCTTGGGGTCCTCATCTGTAACTGCAGAGTTGTTTTATGGATCAGATAAGAGAAGATAAGTAGAAATGTTTTGTAAAATGCGATATACATGTTAGCAATCACTGTAATTATAAAAGCTCCATTTCTAATCTATGAAAACTAGAGGTAAATCAGCCAGAGGCAGCAAGCCAGAGGTGAAAGGCTGCCTTTGAAGCCTGTGGGGTGGAGGATGGAACGTGACTGGTGTAGTGGGAAAAAGAACAGGTTCGGGGGTCCTGCCGATCTAGGTCAAATCACAATTCAGTTATCAACTGTGAGGAGTTGACTAAGTCAAGTAATGGAACTAAGCTTTAGTTTCTTCTTTTAGTATAAAATGGAGTTGATAATGCCCACCCAGGAAGGTCATTCTGAGTACATAAAGGGCCTGGCAGGGTGCCTATCAGAGCTGTCGGCTCAATTAATGGTAATTGTTGTTCCTATTTGTCATTTTCCTCCCCTACCTCCTAAGGGGTTTGCTTAGTTAAGTTACTTGAGATGCAAAGAAGTGAGGGAAACAGAAGGGCTTTTATGACTTACTTTAAGGGTAAAGAAAAGTAGCTCAACGCAGCTTTCCTTTCCTAATCTATGGTGCAAACACGTGTTTAGCAAATGACCGTGTTATATGGCAAGAAGCCAGAGAACACTCAACTTGATACTTATTCCTTGTATTTATTCTAAGTAAATCTACCAATCACTATTAATAAGGGTTCTCTGGAGGCTGTGCTTCTCAGACTTTAATGTACACATGAGTCACCTGGGGGCTTATTAAAGTGCAGATTTTCATTCAGTGGATTTAAAATGAGGTAGGAAATTCTACATGTCTACCAAGGTCTGAGGTGAAGCCCATGCTGCTGGTTTCAGTAGCTCACTGCGAGTAAGGAGCAAGGCTCTGAAGAGATGTGGAAATCTCTTCATTGGCATGGTGTGCACTGTAATTGCCAGCTTCTCCTTAGCAATCTAAGTACAAACTAACTGCTGATAGAACACTGACAAGCCTTTTTCAGACAAGATTTAGATATTCTGCAGCAAGGCTCATTTCAGATCAGTACTGACTTTTTTGGGCAGCCTACTATGTGCAAGGTGCTAGGGATACAAAGGAGGTTAGTGAGACACAATTCCTGCTTGAAGACTGTCCTTTTTCTGACATGGTACATCCTTGTAAACTGTTAACTTTCTAAGGGCACTGTTATTGTCTTGCCTATTGCCTACTCCATAGATAATAAATAGTAAATGAATGAATGAATGAGTTTACAGGAGTTTCATGAAAAATGTCCTCCAGTAGCACATGACATGATATACTATCTTAACTGCACTCTGTCTTAACTATCATGTTTAAGGGATAGTTATGTCAGAATCAGGCTGATAAGGTGGGCCCCAATCCAACCTGACTGATGTCTTTATAAAAGAAGAAATGCTTAGAACCACAGCGATTCCAGGAATGAGCTCACACACACTGGAGGATGACCGGACGCAGAGAGAAGGCAGCCATCTGCAAGCCAAAAAGAGAGTCCTCAGAAGAAACCAAACCTGCCCACACCTTGATCTTGGACTTCCAGATTCTAGAACTATGAGGAAATAAACTTACGTTGTTTAAGCCGCTCAGTTTACGGGATTTGTTATAGTAGTTGTTGCAAATTAATATATAGATTTGCACAGTTTTTATGCCCAGATCCAAGACTCCTTTCTGTAGGAGTCTTAAAACATGTAAGAATAATTCTAAGAGTGGACGAATAAACCTAAGGGTACAGTGAGAATGAGTCATGCAAGGACTTGGGGGAGACAGATGAAGAGGGTGAAATAGTAGCCCAGATTGGGCTAAAACAGCTGTAATATGTACACATTTCTCTCCCCTTCTCATGATACCAACAGGAAGTCTACAGCTTTGACTGAAAATAGGTTTTCAACACCCTCTCCCCCTTCAGGCTACACTTTGATACTTAACACAATATTATCTGTCTAAAAAAATTGTGGCAGGAGGAAGACCCAAGTTTTCTCATTGTATGAAAGTCCTAAAGAGCACCTGTGATGATAAAGTAATAAGACTGAATTTTTGATAAATAAAAAGATATGTCAAGATATGCCAAATGTGGGGCACCTGGGTGGCTCAGTGGGTTAAGGCCTCTGCCTTTGGCTTGGGTCGGGGTCCCAGGGTCCTGGGATCAAGCCCCGCATCGGGCTCTCTGCTAAGCGGGGAGCCTGTTTCCTCCTCTCCCTCTACCTGCCTCTCCACCTACTTGTGATCCCTGTCTGTCAATAAACAAAACAAAACAAAACAAAAAACTTTAAAAAAGACATGCCAAAAGTGTTTCCTGCTAACCACAGGGAATCTACATTTGAAGCTTGATTCTAAAATCAGGGGATTGATTTTTTTGTTTTTTCATTAAACATGCTAACTCATATGTACAGATGAATGCCTCCTTCAAAGTGGTCATTCTAGAAGGTTCTACACTTACTCTAACCATGTCATTGTTCTCAACTCATTCCTGGAATTGTTTTCAGGGTCTGTAAGATAGTCTTCTGCACTCAGTGGTGACTCTTGAAGGTAGATTTGATTTTCAAAAACAATCAAGTGTCCTTCTGGGTAACTAGGAGAACCAGTCAAACTGTGTAATCCCAAGAAGATCGATCCTAAAGAATACAGGCTGATTTTTCTTGAGTGAATTGTACTCAGCTCCAGAAGACAGTTTCTAAAGGCAAACCCCAGACAGTAGTAAACATGCTATAGACATGACAGGGGTGGAGTGGTGACTACTCTGAAAGAAACCCCATTCATTTGTATATGCAAATTTTCTAGTGGTTCCCTTTACCAGACTATTTGCTCTCATCCAGATCAACCCTCCCTTATGGGACCTGGGTTCCCAGAAGTACAAGGACCTCGCTGCCTTAATCAGTTTTTAAGCGGGGTCAATTTTTAATCCAACATAGGTACTGGGAATGTTAAACAAGGGGAAAAAAACCACTAGAGGAGTCTCGGGCTTATCACTCTTTGGGATTCAAAGGACAGAAAGACGACCCAGAGAGAAGTTCCTGAGGCATAACTTTCTGCTCCATGTAAGAAAGACATTGTCAGCAGCTGGAGCTGTCCAACAAGGGAGTTCGTTTGCCTGGGAGATTGTGTTTCCAGCCCGGGAAGAGTTTAAAAGGAAGACTGCTTATTACAGGATGGTGTAGAGGATCCTCGTGTATTGGGTGGGGAGCTACCCAATGACCTCCAAGGACTATCCACAGAGTCCAACCTGCACAGTACCTGGCAATTGTTAGATTCTGAAAAATCCTGAAAGGGAACGAATGAGGAATATAGAGCGTCTTGTGAGCCAAGTGAAAGGTTAGAGGCTAGGGCTCAGTCAGCTGCAAGAAAGATAAGGAAAAGTGAAATGAAAATAGCCACCAAGAGGTGGGGCCTTCCTTTGAGTTTTTGCTATCATAAGAGAATTGCTTTGCACACCTGAAACGTCACATGTTTATGAATATTTTTGAGGGGGTAAGGAGCTGAGAGAGGAGATAGAGCACTGCTCACCCTTCTTAAACTCCTCCAGCACCGTGTCCAGCCGGGTATCATTGAAGACGCAGTGCAGGGGCCGGTTGTAGAAGCGAGTGACGGTGAGTAGTGGCGTGCAGTCGTCGGGGTCCACGAAGGCCAAGTCCTTGACAAACAGAATGTCTACAATGTTGTGCCGCTGATCGCCCTCGTACACGGGGATACGAGTGTAGCCGCTGCGCAGAATCTCTGAGACCGTGGCGAAGTCGAGCACCGCGTCGGAGCGCAGCATGAAGCAGTCCCCGAGGGGGGTCAGCACCTCCTCCACCACCTTGGTGCGCAGCTCCAAGGCGCCCTGGATGATGTTGAGCTCCTCCTTCACCAGGTCGCTGTAGGGGTCTGCGGCCCGTAGTGTCTCCAGCAGCTTCTCGCGCGTGTAGAAGGTGCTGATCTCCTGACGCAGCGCCCAGTCCAGCAGGCGGCCCAGCGGGTAGCACACGGGGAAGGCGGCCGCCATCAGGAGTCGGGTCAGGCACACGCTGTGCGAAGCGATGGCCAGCCCGTGCCGAGAACACACTGAGTAGGGGCAGATCTCGGCGCCCAGAAACACCGCGCCGGTGCAGACGAGCGCCGGCAGCCACGGGAAGTGAATCCCTGCCTCGCTGTAATAATCTTCTCCGGTGCCCCCGACGCCCGGCGGCAGCGAGGCGTACAGCCAGCCTGCCAGGGCCGCGTTGGCTCCGGCTTGGCCCAGGAGCAGGGTGCAGAGCAGATGGGTCCCCCTGCTGCGCACGGCCTGCACGCGGCGCGCCTGCTCCTGCTCTGCGGCCGAGCCGCTATTCCGCAGCACCCGTAACTCCACCGGGTCCAGCGAGAGCAGGCTCAGGCGCAGGCCGCTGAAAAGGGCAGACAGGGCGAGCAGCAGGAGCGCCCCGAGCGCCCGGAGCCACGCTGGGGGCAATAGGTCCCCCCCAGGACCGTACAGCCGCGGGCGGACGCGCAGCAGGAAGCCGCCGGCGGCGCCGTGGTGGTGCCAAGCGCGTCCGTCCCAGGCGCACAGCGAGAAGAGCTTCCCGCCACCGCCCGCGCCGCCCCGCTCTGCCTCGCCCTTGCGCAGCTCCCGCACCCTCACCTGGACTAAAGCCGAACCCGCCACGCCTCCGGGGCGCAACGGCCCCAGGACTTCCACGTCCGAAGCCCAGTCGCTCTGCTCTCGGCAGCGCTGCGGCCCCGGGGGGCGCGTGGGGACAGCACTGGGCGCCACGCCGCTACCTCCCGGGGGCTCCTCGATGAACACGAGCCGCGGAGTCCAGTCGCCGGTGCCGTTCTCTCCCGGGGAAAGGGTGGGTGCGGGCACCGGTGCCGCGGGCGCCGCGGGCCCGGGCTGGAAATAGACGCGCAGGAGGAAGCTGGTGCCTTCCGCCGCGCGCAGGGTGCCCCCCTCCAGGGACACGCGGCCTCCAGCGGTGTCCTCGGGCCGCAGGCCCAGCAGCCAAGCGGCGGCGGCCGGGGGCTGAGGGGACAGGGAGAAGAAGAGCAGGAGCACAGCGCCTCGGCTGCAGCAGTCCCGGAGCCTGACACCCACCGCTGTTGCCGCAGCCGCCATCCTGCACCCGGCGCGGATGCACGTGATACTGCAGAGAACAGAGGGAGATCTGGAGGGAGGAGGAGCCGAGCCGGCAACCCGGCCGCGGGCAGGTCACCACGTGTGCAACCCCTGCAAGCGTGGGCTGTAGACGATGGGGACTCAAACCCAGCCCCCGCCTGGGGTCCCCGCAGGAGGCCGGAGGTGGCCACGCATCACTGCACCACGCATAACCCCCGAAACACGGGTGAATCTGAGTGGCAGCCTAAGGAAAGCTTGATTTGGAGCTCGGCCTCCTGCTCCAGCAGTAGGGAGGCTCTTTGCGAACTCCTACCCGGCAGTAAATTCCCTGTCGGCACCACCGCTTCCCCATTGGCCAGTGACATTTCCCAGCGTTTTGCCTCTCCTCCTGCCTCTTGCCTTCCCCCTTCTGGTCAAAAGATATTCCAGAGACAGCCTCGAATCTGTAAAAACTTTACATTTGGTCTCAACTCTGGTTGACCTTTTATGCTTTAAAAATTTAGGTATTACTTAAGTTCAACTCCTTGTTGAGATCCAAATGTCCATGAATAAGAAACTGTTAAAATAAATTGTGACGCTACTATGTGATGGAATACTATGCAGCAGGAAAAAAGTGATGTGGATCCATGTGTTTGTGATCTGGAAATATCTCCAAAGTAACAGTGGAAAAATAAGAAGGGGTGCTTGGGTGGCTCAGTCAGAGCATGGGACTCAAGAGCATGGGAGTCTTGAGTTCCACTGAAGTTATGATCTCAGGGTCTTGAGATGGGGCGGGGGACGGTGCTCAGCAGGGAGTCTGCTTGAGATTCTTTCCATCTCCCTCTGTCCCTAACCCCACTTGTGTTTGCTTGTCCTCTCCTCTCTCTCTCTCTCTCTCTCTCAAATAAATGAATCTTAGGGACTGGAGGAGATTATCCTGAGTGAAAAAAGTCAAGCAGAGAGAGTCAATTATATGGTTTCACTTACTTGTAGAGCGTAAAGAATAACATGGAGGACATAGAAGGAAAGGAAAAGTGAATTGGGGTAAATTGGAGGGGGAGAGGAAGCATGAGAGACTCTGGACTCTGAGAAAAAAACTGAGGGTTTAGGAGGGGAGAGGGTGGAGGGATGGGTGAGCCTGGTGGTGGGTATTAAGGAGGGCATGTATTGCATGGAGCACCAGATGTGGTGCATAAACAATGAATCTTGGAACACCGAAAAAAATAAAATTAAGATGTTAAAAAAATAAAATAAATGAATCTTAAAAAAAGAAAAATAGTGAAATGCAGGACAATGTGTAATATGCTAGTTTGTATTAAAAGTTAAGTGTAGATGTGCATATATACACATATAAAGGATTACTATGCAGGAGATACACAAGAAATTCTAAGTGTTCACCTCCGGAGAGCTGGATTAGATTGAAAGTTTGGTTGAGAGATACTTAAGTATATATATGCAGGAGATTGCAAAGAAAATCCAGAGATATTCCTACTCCTTAGCCTGCTTTCCCTGGGGGTTACATCTTAACTCTGGTATAATACCAAAAGCAAGAAATTGGCTTGGGTGTAAAGTGTGGTTATAGTTCTACCTCATTTTATCATATGGGTAGATTTACATAACGATCACTGCAATCAAAATGCAGAATTTTTCTATCACCGTAAAGCTCTGGGAGGGAGACTTTTTTTTTTTTTTAACCGAATTCCTTGTATTGTTTGAATTTACCATGGGCCTGTTACTTTATTTTTACTTTTATAAATTTATTTCTTAAATTTACATAGTAAAATTCACTTTTTGATGTGCTGTTCTATGAGTTTTGACGAATGCATATTCTTGTATCGCCATTAAGAATAGTGCCATCGGGGGCACTTGGGTGGCTCAGTGGGTTGAAGCCTCTGCCTTCTGCTCGGGTCATGATCCCGGGGTCCTGGGATGGAGCCCTGAGTCGGGGCTCAGCGGGGAGCCTGCTTCCTCTTCTCTCTGCCCACTTGTGATCTCTCTCTCTTTGTCAAATGAATAAATAAAATCTTAAAAAAAAAAAAAGAATAGTGCCATCGGGGCACCTGGGTGGCTCAATGGGTTAAAGCCTCTGCCTTCGGCTCAGGTCATGATCCTGGGGTCCTGGGATCAAGCTCCGCTTCGGGCTCTCTGCTCAGCGGGCAGCCTGCCCCCCCACTCTGCCTGCCTCTCTACCTACTTGTGATCTCTGTCAAATAAACAAATAAAATCTTAAAAAAAAAATAGTGCCATCACCCTTCAATATTCACTCTGAGTCTCTCTTTGCAGAACCCCTCCCCCAATCCCATCCTCTGACAACCACTGATTTGTTTTCCCCTCTAGTTTCCTTTTCTAGAGTGTCATACAAGTGCAATAATACAATTAAAACCTTTTGGATCTGGCTTTCCTTACTTAGTATAACACATTTAAGAGTCAACCATGTTGTTGTGTTTAATCAATAGTTCATTCCTTTTTGGAATGAACGGGTAGTATTCTATTATGGTTGTATTCTATGGTAGTATTCTATCATGGGTAGTATTCTATAATGGCAGGGTAGTATTCCATTATGTGGATGCACCAAAGTTTGTTTATCCATTTACCAGTTTAAGAACATTTGAGAGATACCTTTGTTAGATTACTCCTTTCTGCTCGTGGACGCCGGCAAGTAAGCATCCTTAGTCTCCCCTCCCACCGCCGTCATGCCTAAGTCAGAGTCTTCCAAAGAGTCTGGAACGCTGTGGAGGCTCTTCATCGGAGGGCTGAGCTTTGAAACAACTGACGAGAGTCTGAGGAGCCATCCTGAGCCATGGGGAATGCTTACAGACTGTGTGGTAATGAGAGAGCCAAACACCAAGGGCTCCAGAGGCTTTAAGGGTTTGTCATGGAAGTCAATGTGGGAGAAATGGATGCAGCCATGAACTCGAGGCCACATAAGGTGGATGGAAGAGTTTGTGGAACCAAACAGGGCTGTCTCAAGAGAAGATTCTCAAAGGCCTGGTGCCCACTTAAGTGTGATGCTGAATAAATGTGTCTTCTTTTTTTTTTTTTTTAAAGAACATTTGAGTTATTGCCAGTTTTTGGCAATTATGAATAAAGCAGCTATTAATGTTTGTGTGCAGTTTTTTTTGTGATTATATGTTTTCGTTTTTCTTGGGTAAGTTGACTATAGGTCTGTATTACTTTTTTTAAAATGTAAAAGTAACAATAATTTGACAGGCTACCTTTGGCTCCTTTGACTAACTTAAAAAATCATCGCTGTGTGTGAAATCTTATTTTACATAGAATTAGTAAGACCCCAAAGATATTGATCGAGAACACCTTTTGAAGGATATAGCTCAGTACAAATGGTTCTAGCTAAAAGTTACCTTGTTTTCATTACACACTCTTATCATCCAGAGTGGAAGTAAATGCCTCCCAGTCTGGGACTAGATAGGCCATAATAGACCACTGGTCACATTCCTACATAAGCTTCCTTTCACAGGGAGTGTGGAATAGATTAGATTGTGAAACAAAACTACCATTGCGTTAACATGTACCAGAGCCCATCTGTTATAAGCTGCCTTTTGTGAGGGCAGCTTGAGAGATAGAAGGAAGATTGGATCACAAGAGGGAACATTGAAGCATGTAGGGGAAGTATGGGGGAAAGGGAGAAAAGGGGTCAAGCATGTGATCGTTTATCTTAAGCATTGGCAAAAACCGCTCTCGCTTTTCTCCCTGAATCCTCTCCCAATCCTCTCCTGAATCCTCTTTCCTGTCTCCTCTCCCAACCCAACTTCCTCAACACAAAGCTACCTGCTATCCTGAGGGTCCTCCCACCTCTTTTGGGCCACAGGACTTTATTATCGTTATAACACCACTTAACAACTTTATCAAGTTTTAGTATTACAAAGGAATGTCAAATTTATTATTACACACACACACACACACACACACACACACACACACACTAGCGCTGTGTAGTAGATGTGATTCTACCCATTTTACAGATCATGTTAAATGACTGGGTAAAACTTCTTTGGACTCTAGATTGATGCCCCCTCACCTTGCAGTGTTGACCAGTACCAAAATAAAACCCTTCAAAAATATTAGATCAGGAATTTAAAAACTTAAATTTCTGATTATAAAATACTACATGCTCATTGCAAATAACATTTTAAAGCAGAAAAGCATTAATAAAAATAAACTATAACCCCACCATCCAGAGATAAACAGTGTTAATATTTTGGCACATTTCCTTTTTTATTTTCTATATACAAAGATAACTGAGAAATACATACACACACACACATAAGCCCTCATATATTTATCTATTTTATAATTGGAATACATATTATACATACAATTCTACTCTGCTTCTGTCACTTAATATATAAAGAGCATTTTCTTTTTTTTTCCAATGAAAATAGGAATCTTTATTAGTTAACTCATTATTTAGATAACTTACAAAAATATTTTAAGAACAAAATGTAAACTTTTCTCAGCTTCTTGGGAGGAAGGCCATATTTAAATTTAGGCTAATATATTTAATATATGTTATTCAGGAAGTATTTATTACTCTTTCCCCTTGATTAGCTTGATTCCAATGGTCATTCGGCCATTGTTCAACTACTTCTATTTTTAATTTCTTTTCAGCATAACGGAATTCATTGTTTTTGCACCACACCCAGTGCTCCATGCAATACATGCCCTCCTTAATACCCACCATCTGGATCCCCCAACCTCCCACCCCCCGCCCCTTCAAAACCCTCAGATTGTTTTTCAGAGTCCATAGTCTCTCATGGTTCACCTCCCCTTCCAATTTCCCTTAACTCCCTTCTCCTCTCCATCTCCCTATGTCCTCCATGTCATTTGTTATGCTCCACAAATAAGTGAAACCATATGATAATTGACTCTCTCTGCTTGACTTATTTCACTCAGCATAATCTCTTCCAGTCCCGTCCATGTTGCTACAAAAGTTGGGTATTCATCCTTTCTGATGGAGGCATAATACTCCATAGTATATATGGACCACATCTTCCTTATCCATTCGTCCATTGAAGGGCATCTTGGTTCTTTCCACAGTTTGGCGACCGTGGCCATTGCTGCTATAAACATTGGGGTACAGATGGCCCTTCTTTTCACTACATCTGTATCTTTGGGGTAAATACCCAGTAGTGCAATTGCAGCATTACAGGGTAGCTCTATTTTTAATTTCTTGAGGAATCTCCACACTGTTCTCCAAAGTGGCTGCACCAACTTGCATTCCCACCAACAGTGTAAGAGGGTTCCCCTTTCTCCACATCCTCTCCAACACACGTTATTTCCTGTCTTGCTAATTTTGGCCATTCTAACTGGTGTAAG